ATTATTGTAAAACATATATTTATTATTGACTGATATCTTTAGCATGATTAACAAAGTTAATTTACAGCTGTAGGGTGACGATCTTAACTTGATTAAAATATAAACAAAATTTAAGCAGAAAAGAATATTCACAGTTTCAGCATTTGTCAAAATGACCAGAAATGCTTCAAGACTAAGAGGAGTGAGGATCTCTTTTAAATTTACAAAGTTCTGGTGGCAGGGCAACATTAAAACAAGGTATCCTGTATTGTAAAACATTGCTGAAAAATACCTTATTGCTTTTACATAATCACATCTAGTCGAAAAAGGCTTCAGTGTGGTTAAAAACATATTGACAAAACAAAGAAGCCGTTTGAAAATCAACGAACGTGAAGATTTAAGGCTGCAACTCACTAATATTAAACCAGATTTAGCTAGTTTAGTAGAAAGTTCATCCATCACACCAAATTTTAAATTTTTTTATCTTTACTTTGCGATTTTTTAAATAATTACCTGTTCAGGTATTTTCACGTAATTTGTATTAATAATCACAGCCACACAAAAAAAATTTTTTTAGGTCTGGGGATCAGACCGTGTTTTATATATATTTTTGGGGTCACTGAATTCGAATCCGGGGTCCATTTTATCTTATCACGTCAGGGTTTCACCTCAAAAAACCCAATAATTGAGGCTTTTCAACACTTTTTAACGCATATAAGTCTGTGACTCAATCTTTAAACACAAAAGTCAAGCTGCTAACTCCAAATCCTTAACCTTATGGATACCCCATAAACTCATGACCCCATAATGCAATAGCCACATAACCCTAAAAAACGCTATAATTTACAGCCACACAAATTAAAATTTTTTTTCTGATCTGATCTGGACTATGTTTTCCATATGTTTTGGGGTCGCTGAATTCGAATCACGTCAGTGTTTTGCTATAACCTCAAACAATACATTTTTTGTGTGGCTGTGAATTATGACGTTTTTTAAGGTATGGGGTTATTGCATTATGAGTTTATGGGTTTATAAGTTTATGGGTTTATGGGTTTATGGGTTTATGGGTTTATGGGTTTATAGGTTTATGGGTTTATGGGTTTATGGGTTTATGGGTTTATGGGTTTATGGGTTTATGGGTTTATGGGTTTATGGGTTTATGGGTTTATGGGTTTATGGGTTTATGGGTTTATGGGTTTATGGGTTTATGGGTTTATGGGTTTATGGGTTTATCGGTTTATGGGTTTATGGGTTTATGGGTTTATGGGTTTATGGGTTTATGGGTTTATGGGTTTATGGGTTTATGGGTGTATGGGTTTATGGGTTTATGGGTCTATGGGTTTATGGATTCATGGGTTTATGGGTTTATGGGTTTATGGATTCATGGGTTTATGGGTTTGTGGGTTTATGGGTTTGTGGGTTTGTGGGTTTATGGGTTTAGGGGTTTATGGGTTTATGGGTTTATGGGTTTATGGGTTTATGGGTTTACAGGGTTATTAATTTGGAGTTAACAGATTGGCTTTTGTGTTTAAAGTTTGAATTACAGGCTTATATGCAGTAAAAAGTGCTAAAGAGCCTTATGTTTTTTGGGGTTATAGCAAAACACTGATTCGAGTTCAGCGACCGAAAGTACCGAAAAGCCTCAGTTATTTTGAGGTTATGGCAAAACCCTGACGTGATAGGGTAAAATGGAACCCGAATTCGAATTCAGCGACCCCAGAGACATGTAAATAACACAGTCTGATCCCCAGACCCGAGAAAAATTTTTTTTGTGTGGCTGTGAATTATTACTTACACTTTATATTTACTGAATGTTATGTCTATTTATTTTGTTAAATTTTGATGACAAAATTATGTCAAGTTTACTCACTTAACCAACCTCAAAGTTTTTAAATTGGTAAATATTTTGTATCAATAGGAAAAAGACTAGAGTTAGGATTTTTAAAATAATTTGGCTATGGGGATCTGAGGAATCAGTTCATTTTGGAAAATGTTTTCTTGTCCAAAATATTTTGGGAATCCCTAGACTAGAATATTCGGTGTTAATAATTTCAATTTCGTTATATAGAAAATACTGAATATTCAGTCTATTTGATTCAGATTGTCGTGTAAATTATCTAATTACTCTATAATAGACTTATGTATTCAGGAATATTATACCACCCCAAGTACGAATATATTTTTTTTTTCTATGGGGATAATAGATAAAATGTAATAGATGTAATACAGTTATTATTGATCTATAACAATCGAACCGCTGATCAGGATGGTGCTAAGAACTTCGTCTAAGTTGCCATTACTATCCTTCAGTACCACCATATCTACGTCCCTCAACCCCCAAATGTTTCTTAGTCATGACAAATTGAAACTTTTGGGGCCCGTATTGGCTGAAAAAGTTTGCAAACAAAAAAATCTATAACTGTATTAAACATCAACCAAATATTTTTTAATCTCATTTGGACATGAACGCCACTGTTTTAAAAATAATCTTCCTCTCATAACCTTATATTATAATAGTTTAAATTATGGAACATGTTATTTTAAAAGAAACGATAATATATCAATGACCGAAAGTTACGTCTATGTGCGACATACTTAAATAAAAAATATAAAGGAAATATACCCGTATACCTATTACGCCTTAATACCTTGGAATTTCCTCCTCCAGCTCTTAATAATATTATATTAATGTTCATCAATTAACTATCGATATTTTTTTAGTCTATTTATCTCGGAAAATTTAAAAATCAGGTACTTAAAATCACTGTTTATCTAAAACTGTTTTTAAACGTTTCTTGTAAAAAATACTTAAGTAACTACGTGACACACAAAATAACAATTATTATACAAAATTTTATGAATATTAGATGGTTAAAAAAGAAAAAATATTTGGATTTACTTCGCAAGAAATATATTTTAGTCGAATAGTATGATAATATATTTGTGGATGCCACTCCTCATCTTAAATGCGTGTAACACTTTTTTGAAAGAGACAAACACACATTACAAATACATTTTTTGTCCTCCAAGTTGACATAAAATCTAACAAAAGACAAAAGTAGATTAGGCATTCTAAAAATAATAAAAAGTCTAGGTTTGTCAGTTCATCTGTTACGAAATTCGAACTAATTCATCAAATTTCGCGCCTTTCGAAACAAAAGTATTCTTTGTCGAGTCACGTCAGAAAACTTTTAATTTTCTGGCTAGACCAATTTGTTTTTTCGACAACCGATTGATCCGTTTAGGGAAATTTCATTTCGTTTGAAGAAAATAAAAATATATATATTTTGTTTTCCAAATTTTACTACACTTTTCCAAAAAATTCACGTATACACGGAGAAAATAAATCAATTATCATAAGTAAAAGTATATTTCTAAATACGTATTTATATCACAAGTAAACAAGTTTCCTAAAATGATGTTTTTCAATACCTAACCCCTAGTAAACAGTTAACTTTGGCACTTTTACCTACGACAAATAAATAATGTTTCTGAAATTGCGTTATTTTTTTTTTTTTTTTTTTTTTTTTTTTTTAATTTGGTGTCATCGGCGTCGACTACTACGGCCATTAGCCTCGTGTTCTGTGTAGGCTTTGTTACTGTTTCCCAGTGCCACTTTATGAACAGCACTGTTAATTAGAACCCAACAGTGAATGGTCGAGTGGGGAATCCTACCAAGGCATCAGAATTAATTTTAAATAATTAAATTAAATGAAAAAATCCCGGCCAACAGTGGGATTCGAACCTGAGACCTTCCGATCTCAAAGTCATGACTCTAACCACTGAGCCAACCCACCCCCTAAAAAATTGCGTTATTAATCACAAAATCACATACAGGGTGGCCCATCGAAAACGTACCGCAAAGCATTACAGGGTGAAAAAGAACTTTTCGGCGAAATCCAAAAACACGTCAAGTTTGTTTGTCAAGGGGACACCTTTTGAGGCAAAAAGCATAGTAAAACCTTTAACCCCCTTAGTAGGGGCGTCATCCTCCAAATTTTTACAGAGGGGAAGGGGCTCAAGTGATACCTCATTAAAAGGGTCTTGTCATTCCCTATACAACGATGCTGAGTGTTTGAAAATCGAGCCACTTGTTTAGAAAATTATGAAGCCTTGAAAGTTAAACAATAATGTGGGATGTAAAATGCAAAAACTTGTATAGGGAGTGACAAGAACCTTTTAATGAGGTATCATTTGACCTCCTCTTTCCCTTTGGAGGATGACACCCTACTTAGGGGGTTGAAGGTTTTACTATGCTTTTTACGTCAAAAGGTGTCCCCTTGACAAACAAACTTGACATGTTTTTGGATTTGGCCGAAAAGTTTTTTCTACCCTGTAGTACCTTGCGGTATATTTTCGATGGGTCATCCTGTATATTTACCATTAGTTAAATTTTACTTACTGTTAAAAAACATTTCACTTCTACGTATGGGTGATTCCAGAGAAATGGTAGAAAATTATGTCCATAAAATCTTATATATTAATTGCAGAAATTATATAAATTTTTAATGCCATTATGGTCGAGGGATGATATAAGTTTGGATCCCACTTTAAGTTGAGATCGTTATTAGGTTTAATGCTTTTATTCTAAGAAATAAAAAATGTGGGTCCATGGAGTTGATCAAATATTAAACATCTCCATGGACATGTGTTTTCCATTTTTTATGGAGTTATCTATCATTTTTTTAAATGTTGTTGCATGAAAGAACAGTCATCTGGTTACAAGAGTAATAAAACTAATTTATTCTTTTATAATAATAACATACAATATAAAATATCAAAGATACTTTTCATAATTATAATGGACAAGAAACAAATAATGCTAAACACAACTTTGACAAACTTAGATTCTAAAACAAAAAGCAGTGAATGCAAAATAATATGACAAATAATGGTGATTTGTTTATTTATTAGTAAATCCATTGAAATCGTCATCTGTAAAGCAAAACTTATTCCTTCTTAATGACATTGGCGCAGGTAGTGGTTTCTTGACGTTGTTGAAATCAACAATCTCTTTTTTTCTATCCTCTAAAATGACTTTTATTAACAGCAGGAACAAGTAGCATTTCACCCAAGTGATAATGAATGCAATAATTTGGAGGTTTGCAAGTTAAACACCTCAATCGTCTTAAATTGATCATATTGTTACATTTAAGAGTCCTTGCAATTGTCTTGCCTTTAAAAGGCTTAATATTAACGGAAATCATATCATCTAAAGCTTTAATATCTTCTTCTCTTACTACTTTGAAGTTTATGCCCGGGCAATTATGTTTCAGTACTGAACCTAAACTGTCCAAGTCTGGTATATCTGCCCCCTGAGCCACCAATCGATTAGCTGTTCTTTTAACACAGCCACACACACCATCAGGAGCTTCTTTTCCATGTTTACTCTCTGTTAAGTTCCAAGTCATATATTGCGCCTTCAGTAATTTAAAAAAATATATTCCAAATTATGTAATGCATACTTTTGTTTTTTTATTGGGTGCTAGACCCGTCGCTCACAAAATGAATATTTTCCAATTCAGGACAAGTATTTAAAATTGTCATGAAGAGTAGCTTTAAATTTTCCAAAATAACAAGTGGATCATGCCTAAAAATTTTGGAGAGACTGCAAAAGCAATTCGAGTGTAAGATTCCATCTTCAGAATTAGTATAATACACCACAGTCTGAAGATAAATCTGAGGTTTCGAGCCTCCAAAATGGGCACTCTGTATTTCTTGAGAATATGTACAGGAGTAATTTTCCGAGAAGTCCATATGTATCAGGATATCCTTTTTACCTAAATTAAATTTTTTAATGTAATATGGCTTTATACTGGTATTTTATTTTAGCAAGGTGTTCCATGTAATTGGACAGATTTTTTCTAGTTCGTTTACTAAATGGGACTTGGTGCAAAGGAAATTCTCCTTAACATTTTTTAGACTAACTTTTTCATGACCCTTTATGGGAAGCATTTCGCGTTTAATAATTCACTTTTCGTGTGAGGTATTTTCTTCTGTATTATAATCGTTATGGGGTATAGTTTTGATTTTCCAAACAATGTTCTGTTGCTGGCTCATGACATACATCTTTTCCAAATATTATGGATTAGCTTGCATTATCATTCTTATCATTTTCATTTTTAATACTAAAAGTCTTATATTTTCATGCCTCTTTGCAAGTCTCTCTTAATAAGGATTTTGTTATTTAGACCCAAAATGGCCTATTTTGACTATAAAGTGCATATGAGACTTTCAAGTTTGTCTTCACGGGAAAACTTATAATACAAGTTTTTCATGGTATCTGTAGGAAATCGCTTTTGTTTATGTGTTTGATGAAAAGTGATTGAATCTTTCTTACCTGGGGCTACCCTGCTGTTTTCGTCTTTTTGGTAAAACTTTTAAATTGAATTCCTAATCTCTTAAGCAATGTCAACTCTTTTAGTGAAATTCAGGGCCTTTGGAGAAAATAATTTATAGTACCTACGTTCCTCATGTCATTAAAACATCTATATTTCTTTTTAATATTTTCTGTGACTCGTATCACAATTTCTCGTTTTTCTTTGTGACTTATTCTTGGTTTAATTTCTAGTTGTGTTTTCAACACCTCAGCAGTTCTTTTTTAATTTCTAGCGGTACTTTTTTAGCCCTATTGGCTTTCGTTCTATTTCTTAGTACTCTTTTCTTTCACATTTTTAAGCTATTGCATAGCTTTTATCGCGGGCTTTGAGTGGCGACCGAATCAAGAAATTTCGTAACACCGTAACGAAAAAAAGCCTAACATCCCCCACTCCGACCGGCGTATGCGTGTAGACCAGCTGCTAACTGCTCATAACTGATTATATCTCTTTTAGACCCAATGCTAGGTGAGACAGCGTGCTTTTAGCCGCGTCCACGTGTGAGTTCGAGCCCACTGGAATTGTACAGTATATTTTTTCTACGACTCGCTAAAAAATCGAAAAATCGAAAAACCAAAAAATCGAAAAATCGAAAAATCGAAAAATCGAAAAATCGAAAAATCGAAAAATCGAAAAATCGAAAAATCGAAAAATCGAAAAATCGAAAAATCGAAAAATCGAAAAATCGAAAAATCGAAAAATCGAAAAATCGAAAAATCGAAAGATTGAAAAATCGAAAAATCGAAAAATCGAAAAATCTAAAAATCAAAAAATCGAAAAATCGAAAAATCGAAAAATCGAAAAATCGAAAAATCGAAAAATCAAAAAATCGAAAAATCGAAAAATCGAAAAATCGAAAAATCGAAAAATCGAAAAATCGAAAAATCGAAAAATCGAAAAATCGAAAAATCGAAAAATCGAAAAATCGAAAAATCGAAAAATCGAAAAATCGAAAAATCGAAAAATCGAAAAATCGAAAAATCGAAAATTCGAAAAATCGAAAAATCGAAAAATCGAAAAATTCATATGTTGATAAAAAATGCTATGCAATAGCTTTACCGCGGCAGTCCCCGAGTGCCACACGTATTTTTTTCTCGACGAAGATAGCCTTGCTACTGCAAGGCTATCTTTCGGTGTATAAAAAGAATTGTTTTGACTGCCTCTTGTCGGTTGATCGGCAGTTTCTGGGCTGGATGGGGGAATATTGTTTTTCAGTAGTCTTTTACTTTGTTTTAATTTGTCCCTATATTTTGCAGAAGCATCTTTCCAGTGGCACCATATGGCTTTGACAGTTCCACTTGAAACCGTAGCTATTTTCTCTTCTTTTTTATGTCTTTGATAACGCTGTATTTCTTCTATTTTAGCTTGTTCATAAAGTTCAGGGTTTTCCTTTATTTTTTCTCGCCTTCTTTTTTCACAATCTCGTTTTTGTTTGCGCCTTTTTCTGTGATTTGATTAATCGCCATTTTGTTCTTTAAAAATAACAAAATTGAGGTTTTTTAAAACACGGGCCGTTACTTTCAGTCTTGATTAACTATATATAACAATTGATTAAATTTAACTGCCAACAATGGATACTTTCATCATCGGTTAGGAGTTAAACACTGTTTGAAATAGTAATGCGATCTATTTAAATATAACTGCTCTATAGGGGCGCTCGACTGTACATATGTTCCTATTTAATCTCCAGGTCTGTCATTTTCTACATTTCAATACAATCACATATTAAATTATACAGACTATTATTTTGATGCATACCCAAATAATTTTCCAAAGTTTTTAGGTGGAGATAATGCGGAAGTGTATAGAAATCGAAAGGGATGGTTTTCTATGGACGTACAGGTTGTATGTGATTGCTCCAATTACATTATGGATAAAGTTTCTAGATGGCCTGGATCTTGTCACGAGAGTTATATCTTTAGTAATACATTGTTACGAGCTCGCTTTGAAAGTGGAGAGTTTGGCCATTTCTTATTAGTAGGAGATAATGGTTATTCGTTAAAAAAATATCTGATGTAATTGAAAAGACCTTCGGGATTTTAAAACGGAGATTTCCAATTCTTTCATGTGGAATGAGATGTGTGTTACCACTATCTCAACAAATAATAATAGCAACAGCTATAATACACAATATAGCTGTATTGAATAGGGACAGCATTGATGATGAAGAAGAGATAAATGTCCCTGAGATAAATGAATTTTCACAACAAGGTGATGAAAATATTCTGTTGTTTTGGAAAGCAGTAGTATATTATTATAAACAATTACGACAAATACAAAAAACTATAACTAATAAGAAACTGAACATATGAAAAAGTCAATAAACTTAATTATTAGTTTTTATCACAATTTATTTCAGTTTTGCATTTAGTTCGCATTTTAAAATGTCCAATTTAACCTTCTGTTCTTTTTTCTAAAAGATTTTTAAAATTTTTGCCTTTCTTAAATTTTTTATAAGAAATTCGTTATATTGTTAATTTTTTTAAACTTGAATCAGATCTTCTTCTCTCTAGTTCCTCTTCTTTAATTTTCAATTCTACTTCATAACATATTTTTTTGTATTTCAGTTAAGTCGGTCTTCGCCTTTGCTAGTTTGTCAAAATTTCCAAGGTTCTCTTTCCTATTCTCTTTTGCCGCAGTTACCCTTTTCCTTTTCTTTAAGTTCCATTTTTTGGCAGGACTGCGAGCGTGGAGTGTGGATATCGTAACAATCTCATTGAAACCCTAAAGTAATTAGATATGTATGAAATACTAAAATACTAATTATTAATATTGAAACTTTTACTACCTTAAAGAAAAGATCATTGCAATCAAAGCTGTCCCTACCTTATTGTCGTCTGTAATGCCCACTCCTTGATTTGTTGGAATCACTGCTGGCTTGTGATGCATCAACGGTTGCAATCAGTGGTACTTCTACATCATCAGAATCTCGCACGATATTTGAGATATCGTCAGAATCTCCCATTGATTCCAATCCGTCCATATTAAACTGTACTGCCAAATAAAATTTCTCCCCATACCACAGTAAAGTGATATCTTCAGAAGGTCCACCTCTAGTTTTTAATTTACTCAAACGGAGTGCAACATTTTTTTCTTTAGATCTCTCTTCATATTTTCGTATTTCATTTTAAAAGAATGTAGATTTCTATTAGTGGTGTTGGAAGAATTAGACATGGTTTCAATTCTTTTCCATGCTTGTTGCTTTTCTTTTAACATTACACTATCAGTTTTTTTATTTTCAATTGTATGAATTTCTTGAAAAATATTCATCATTATTGAACGAATTTTAGTTTTGGAAAAATTGCTTCCCCTGTTCGTCCTAAACGTTTGCTAGAACAAGTCGAGCAGCGTTGCCAACTTTTTGTTATGATATCTGTTAAGAGTACACTCTTACCCGAACTTGCGTACTCTTAGGCGATATTTTAAATTTCGTGTACTTTTTAGGCGTTTGTTATAGTAGCTAAATGGGAAGATATACAAGGAAGACTAAAAGAAAGTTAATATTTACTGAGGGAAACCTTAGAAGAGCAAGGAAAAGAATTACAAATGGAGAAAGCCAAAGACAAGTAGCAGAGTCTATGGGTACAAAGGAATCTACTCTTAGAAAAAGACTTAAGGCGGTAAGAATAAAATAAAAAAGAAAATTCATGCATACCATATTTTCTTATAGGGGTCTGTACCAAGCAGACTTGGATGGTTTAAGCCAGTTTTTACAAAAGAAATGGAAAGATAATTGGCGGATCATTGACGAGACTTAGATTGCAGATTTTACGGAATAGGAACCAAGAATCTTCGATGTCTGGCATTTCAATATGCTGTGACCTCAACGGACTTGGTCATCGTTTCAATAAAGAAAAAAAGATGGCTGGGAAAGACTGGGTTTATGCTTTTTGTAAAAGGCAAAAACTTTCTTTGCACTGTCCTGAAAAGTGCAGCTTTGTAAGAGCTATGGGATTTAATAAAGAACAAGTCGGGATATTTTTTAGAAATCTGAAAATGGTGTTGAAAAAAAATCCCTCCTCATCGAATATTCAACATGGACGAGTCGGGACTTTCCACCATCCCTAATAAGATTCCAAAAGTGTTTGCAACAAAAGGGAAAAAAATAGTTGGTAAAATTGTTTCTGCAGACAGGAAGGAGCCAAACAGTTACGGTTGCCTGCTGCATGTCCCCGACTGGGATATTTGTACCACAGTGCATTATTTTCCCTCGAAAACGATTGAAGCCTGAACTATATTAAAGAGCGCCAGTTGGAACATTGCCGATGATTTCTGACATGAAGTCTGATATTTTTATAAACTGGTTAAGACATTTTCAAAGTTTCGTCAAATCCTCAGAGGAAGACCCCGCTCTACTAATACTTGACAATCACGTGTCACATCGTTCTTTGGAGGCAGTACTGTACTGCTGAGAACACCATATTATCTTGCTTTCCTTGCCTCCTCATGCAAACCATCATCTGCAACTACTTGATCGAAGCTTCTTTGGACCGCTGAAGACCGCCTATTCGGTTGAAGCAGACAAATGGATTACAAACAATCCTGGGCAAGTTATAAACCAAAGACAAATATCCGAACTCTTTGGAGAAGCTTACGCAAGAGTGGCAAATATTTCAATAGCTCGAAATGGATTTAAAAGCACAGGAATTTTTCCATATGCAGATGATATCTTTTCTGAGGATGATTTTAGGCCCTCAGAGGTTACAGACAGGGTTTTGACAGCGCCACCTGAAGACATGTCGGATGATAGTGATACTCCTCTGCATTTAGTTCAGCAAAAGTTATTACAAGATAAAAGTAATGACAGCAAGCAAGTAAAAGCACAAACAAGCACTAGTATCAATAGTTTGTTAGCTGAGCTACAAGCCTCGAGAAGCACTAGTGTCAATGTTTTGCCAGCTGAGCCAGAAGCCTCAACAAGCACAAGTAAGAATTGTTTATCTGATGCGGCAGAACCGTCAACAAGCACTAGTGTCAATGTTTTGTTGGCTGAGCAGGATGCCTCAACAAACACAAGTATCAATGTTCTGCCAGCTGAGGCAGAAGCCTCAACAAGCACTAGACTCAATTTTTTATCTGATGAGGCCGAACCTTCAACAAGCACTAGTGTCAATGTTCTGTCGGCCCGTAAAACTAACTCAGATTCTTCATTTAAAACAATTATTGTCTCACCATCAAACATTTATCCACTGCCTAAAGCACCTACTGAAACACAGAAACAACGAAGACGCTCTCAGAAATCGGAACTTATGACGGAGTCCCCAATTAAAAATGCCCTATTGGAAAAAGAAGAAACTTCGAAGGGAACAGTAAGAGTCAAAAGAAAGGTTTTTAAAAATAAAACAACAAAAATTAAGAACAAATAAAACAATATGAAAGGAAAGAAAAAGGAGAAAAGCCATGAATTGCACTGCCCTAATTGCAATATGGCTGAAAACAAAACGGAGACGACTGGGCCATGTGTTCACAGTGTGACTATTGGTGGTACGTACACTGTTCCAATTACGAAGATTATGGACCCTTTTTATGCGATTTATGTGCTGCTTAAATGTTGCGTACTCTTGGCCGCATCTCAATCGTACTCTTGTACGACTAGGCGGATAAGAGGGCGCATTTCTATTTTTTTTTTTTTTTTTTTTATTTCTACTGTGCCATTTGGTAATAAAAGTGTGGACCTTTCTTTATGTAACATTTTTTTGGAATTTGTTTTGTTTATACTTTTTTAATACATTTTTATTCCTTAAGTGCGTACTCTTACCCGAATGTCTCCTATTATAGGGTATTAACTAAAAAATACTGAAACATAAAATTGTTATACATGTATTTTAAAGGCTTTTCCCACTGGAAAAGTATTATCTAGGACGGGGACTCTTGGATGACAGCCATAGCAATCCCTCCTTGAATCCTCTTTTTCTGAGTTTGTTGTACGTTTTGCTTTCCATACTAAATAAGTAAGCACTTAATACAACACAATAAATATCGCTGAAACAAAATTAATAGTAATAAACGGTATAAATTTCGTAAAAGAAAAAATCAAAAAATTATCACTTGTCAATACTGACACTTCACGCTTCGCTTGTCAAAAACTTCTTTTTTAACCAATGAACGTGCCGATGTCAGACGTGTCAAAATTCAAAACGATACTAGCGCAATGTGGCTCTGTGTCTGGCCGCAGCGTAACTCAAAGCCATTTCTTGAATCCGAGTAACATTACTATAGGGGTCTATTCTGTAACAATTCCTTTATATTACGGCCTTTAAAAATATTGGCGGCCTTTAAAAATAGTTTCTTATTCGTTAATTTACTTCTATCATTATTTAAACAGATTTCTTTAAGATAGTCCTCTAATGTATTTTAAAGATCCGTTTAAATAATGACAGAAGTAAAGGAGAAAATATTTTTAAAGGCCGTTAAATATAAAGGAATTGCTACAGAATAGACCCCATATTGTGGTATTATTTGTTTGCGTAATTTTTTCCCAATGAAGTAACCTCTTGTGGGTTAAAGTCCATGGTGATGATAAATAGAGTTTAAACCTTTTTTTTGCAACCATTGGTTTGTGGAAAAACAAATTTCTCCTTACATTGAAGGATGAGTTTTTTTTGATATACCCATAATTTTGAATTTTCTAATTGCGTAATTTGATTTTAGTCTTTTCGCTGGTTACAGAAAATTTGGCTATTTCGCTGGAACCACCCGTATATAATTTGAATAAATTTTTTAATCCGTGCTAGAATAATATGCGGTTTGCACTCTTGTCTGAAATTTTCCCGCACTTAAAATAAATATAAAACACTGTGTTTTATCATGATAAATAAACACAATACATGGAATTATTCCTGAAAATGATTCAAGATCTAAGTATAATTGCAATTTCATGTAACATTCTAATACCGTATGCTCAAATTAAGAGATAAATAATTTGTTTATTACATATTTTAGGCATTTTATCTAATATTTAGTGCAAAAAAGTGATTTCACAGTGCGACATGGCGAATTTCTATTGGTATCTAAGACCGTGGGTAGTTGTTTTAAGATTTTTAGGATTATTTCCTTTGGATAATGTTACGAAATCCGATCCCACGTACCTATCTTTCGGTACTTTCCATTTCTCTAACATTTACTCTTTTTGCGTGTTCAGTACGTGCGTCTTCTTCGTCGTATATTTTTCAGAAGTGGCATTTTGTACGACAAGTCCAGAAGAAAAATGCAAGCAAATGGTCTTAGTTGTAACTTCTCTAAGATCGTTAATAAGTTTGTATTTTTACATAGTGAAATCCAAACATTTTCCGAATTTAATCAAACTTCTACACTCCTACGATCAACAAAAATTTAATTTTTTTTTGGACGAAAACTCTTCTTGGTTTCGTAATTTCATAGTGTGGTGCGTTTTGCCGATAATTTGTTCTTTTCTGGTTTTTTTCACTTTCTGTGTCGTGTCTGCATTAATTGTTCAAGATATACTAATGGAGTCTATTAGATACACAAAGAAAGGTTATTTATCCTCTATGTCTTTCGGAATTTTATCCATGTGGCATACATTCCCGATTTGTTTATATTTGTACAAGGCCATGCGGATTTGTAGCAATTTTTCAGAGCTAAACGACAGCTTGAAAAAAAGAATCAATATTAAAAATTATACTGATAACCAAAACCCTAATATCGATTTTGACACTATAGCTGAATACAGATATCTTCATAACATGCTTTCTGAATGCGTTCATCAATTGAGTATAGCTTACGGAATGTTTTTGGTAGTTGATTTACTAGCTGTTATCTGTGTTTCTGTTATAAGTATAGTTCTTTTTGCTTTGGTGGATAGAAATAATATTTCTATGCTTAATTTGTCCGTATTTTCACTGGCTCTTGCTTTGATAGGGATATTGGTCTCACAGAAAATCAAAGAAAAAGTAAGTTTATAAAAAAATCAAAGAATAGGTAAGCATCACAAACTGTACTGCATTAGTTGCATAATTAATTGAATTGGTGAGTTCGAAAACCGTACATGTCCAAAATCAGCCTTCCGAGAAAAACAATAAAAACTGCTTGACATAGACTATTTTCGTTCATAGAAAAGTTTTAGAGCTCGTGGTTTGCAATGTATTTTTAATGGTAGTTTTTCAGAAAAATAAAAATGGTCTACCAATGACAGATACAAATGGAGTATGGACTTGTACGGTTTTTGAACTCAACCCTGTATTATAAAGAAACATGTGAAATGTTTTTGATTTATTTAATATTTATTTAAAGAGGAGGAAAAATACAATATCAAAACTGTTATCTCAGTCATCTAACGTGTTTTCACTTTTTGCATCTGCAAATCATCTGTAACTTTGCAGGAGGTTGGAACATCCTGCACACTTACGTAATGTTTTCTGTTGCTATTGATTGAACATAGTTCGTGGTGTCAGGTTAACACAGTTTTGTAAACATAGTAATGGATTTGGGTTTATTGTTGTTAGGGGGTAATAAATCACAATAAATATGACAGATTTGCAGATGCTTTTGGAATACGAAAAATTGATGCTTACATCTGTAAGTCCATCATGTTTGCAGATCTGCAAAGGTGCAAGCTTGCTTTTTCTGTAATCTCGCCCTATAGCAATTGACTATTATTTTGTTGTTGAGATGAAAAACCGTACGAGTCACGGACATGTACGGTTTTTCTCATTTCACGGTATATAGTACAGTTTTTAAGCTCAAGGTACTGTATTAGGTCCCCTACTGTTTCCCTATACATAAACGGGTTTGGAGTGAGTAGTAGGGATTAAGTGTACACTTAATAAACGGGTTGTTGGAACTTAACTTAAAGGGTAAGAATATAAGTTTTGCCGATGATTCAGTAGTTGTATACACGGCTAAAACTTGGAATGAAGTTAAAACGGTAGCTGAAAGAGAATTCCAAATGACAAGTAATTGGTTAAACACATTTACAATTATTTTAATATGAAATTTATGTAATTTGCCTCATATGCCAATAACTTGTCAACTTTCACAACACTTTATATAAAAAAACCATTCTTTCATACCAGGCACGCACAAATAAAATTTTTTGGGGTTGTATTAGACCAACATCTAAAATAGGATTTACATATTAAATATGTCATAAAAAATTAAGACTAACTAACTAACTAAAACATAACTGGGCTAATGGAACCTCCACAAGTTCGTGACGCTAACACCGGACAAAGGTTTTTTCCTGTAAAAACGTGAAGCAAGATGCTGAATCCCGACCGTCTATATACTGGGTGAATCGTCGAATTCATCCCTGGCGATGAGATTTTTTTTGCGTTGTTTTAAATTTTACAGGGTGCACCAAACAAAACTACAAATCATAATAAAATCATTATTTTACTGTTTTTTATTTAAGTAGGTACCTATTGCAATTGTGTCTTAAATATTGTAATATTGAAAAATACGTATTTTATTTCTAATTATACGGGGTAGCTCAAAGTATTTCGATTATATATTTTAATAGAGATAATATGGGTTGGATCAGTTACGATTGTGGTAAATAATTTAAAAGTAACCGAATGCCGAAAAAAGTATCCGATACTTACAAATTTGGTCACGGATACCGGATACAAAATTTGAAAAGTATTCGGATACAGCTTTCGTATGCACATAAAGTATCCGGATACTACCCAACTCTGCTATGCAACCAGTTACAAAATGCCTAATTTTATGAAACAATTTAATATTTACGGGACGAACAGAGCGAGGTCTCGCAACATGAACGAGTTATATAAAACGGTATTTCGTAACGTGTTATAATATACAATACTTTTTTTCTAATTTTGACTAAATTATTTACAAAATTTTGTTTTGGTAAAAGTAACTGACATCTAGGCAACCAATATTACTTTCTTGTCTGCTTAGTTGCATTGGCATGACTTCATTTTATTGACAAATAATAGAAAATCATTAAATTATTTTCAACGATTTGTAGTGTTTATTTGGCTTGTTAAAGTTATTTAGTATATATTGATTTTAAAACTAAAAGACGACATATTTTGATATGTTTTCTTTGTAAGTGATCTAAATCTAAAGTAAATCATCTAATTTACACAACTAGTTGCATAATGTTGAACATTTTGAAACTGGTTAGGAAAATTTAATTATGCACCAATTCCGAAAAGAAAACTAATAAAAATAAAACTTTTTGGTTTTATAATCAATTATTATTGAAAGTGTATATCAAAGAAAGGCAGGTTGAATTAAAAAATAGAATTTGGTTAAACTTCCAACCTAGTAATAATTTTGTTTTGATCCTTATTTTTTATTCTAAATTAGCACAAAATATTTAAAATACAATACACCACAAAATAACCAATTTTTTTGAAAACTAAATAACGATAATAAGCAATTTAAACGCACTAGATAAAGAGATATAACTACCCCCAAGTCCTCTGACAAAAGAGTAACGCATTTTTAGTTAAAGTTTGCACGTGTCTTCTTATTTCAGTTGCGCTTTGTTGTTGCTTAGCAGCGTAAACTTTATTAAGGTGCGTTTAAATGAATACAAGAAGTCACATTGAAAAAAATAATATTACGTTTTACATTTTGTCTACAAATACTAGAAAAATTTACTTTCGTACTTTATAAATAAATTTCTCAGCTGAACACTGGTTTTTAGCGTTTTTAGAGTTTTTAAAGATAATCAAAAACAGGTGCATATTCGTGAAGCAGATTATTTGTTAAAAAAATATATAATAAAAAGTGGCACAAAAAATATGTATTGGGTAACTCATAATTTTTTTTAATCAATATTATTTTCTTCACAACTGGACTCTGATTCAGTTTCATCACTACTTGCCACTGTACATAAATTAATTATAATTGGTTCTAGATCAGAAACATTTAATTGCTTGTATTTTTCCCAATCGGAATCAATTATGTTTTTAGTCTGTCTTACATAATTGTCCCACTAAGTATCGATAACATTATTCAAAGCCTGACCAAGTCTGAAATACCTCTTCCGGTGACGACTTTGTTGTTAAAATTTTTTCGTCATAAAACCGTTTGAACCATCTATATCGAATTGTACTGGCAATATTTTATACCCATATTCCTCAATATATTTATCTAGGTGGACTTGTTTTCGTGGTAGATTTTGACGTGCAACTTCTCAAATCTGATATTTCATACCATTGATTGGATAATTATTTTTCTTTTCCTGAAAGCCATTTTACCATTTGATCTCCTTTTTAACTATAAAATGGAATTGGTTCTACGTACCGCGAATGATAACTGGCATTATCGATTATAATCAAAGAAGGATTTTCTAGACTAAGTATAAATTTCGACTTGACCATTTTTCAAAATTTTCTGTGTTCATATTATTATGGTAATCCCCGCTTTTTGTTTGACTTTTAAATATGAGGTCTGCATATTTTATAAACCCTTCTTTATTGCCACCATGGATAATTATGTATCGAATTCCATATCCTGCTTATTAACTTGCAGTGGCCATCGTTCCATCTTGCCAACTTTTTCTGTCACTTCCCTTGCTATATACCCACGACTCACCCATAAATACAGGCTTAGAGTTACCCAGCACTATCTTCTTGTTAAAAGTGTTCAAAAACGACATTTCTTTAACTGAATCGTTGTTAGTTTCAATAAAAACTCTCTGTTGTTACTTCTTTTTCAATCCATGTATTAATTGACCGTGCAGAACATTTCACATAATGCATTTCTTCCGAAAATCGTACATGTAACCTTCGTACATCTTATATATAACTTGCCGCATCTTACTTAATATTCAAGAATTGACTTTTGTTTTACTTTGGCTTACTTTTTTATATATTACTTTTACGTACTCTTTATCAGAACTTGTTGATTTATCAAGTTTATAGATAGTTTTCAGCGAAATATTTAATCCCTCTGCAGGCATCTGATTGTACCTCTTTCCAAAAGTCTCGCAAATAGATTTATGTATCTTATTAAATACGAAACTACGTTTAGGATTAAAGTTTTTGATTGATCACTAAATCGTTTCACCATTTTGTTTAATACTTTTACCAAATCTCTTACATAATTGTTATTTATATTCCACCTCGTACATCGGTTCTAGAATTTTATTTGACCCAGTCAAACTTTTATCGTTCAAGTGATGCATCATTATGAATTGTTTTCAAGTTGAAGCTTGTCTTGAAACGTGTGAAAGACAGTCAACTTTTGTCGAATGTGTATTAATACATAGATAAATAGTGTATAGTACGTTTGTAACTTTAATCTTAGTGAAATTGCTTGACGCATCACTGTATCTGGTTTTTCTATGCGATCCTGAACTTTTGAGAGCAGCTCCTCGAAATTTTCTTTAAATATTCGTAAATGATTTCTATACCTTTCTTTATCCTCTAGTACCCCACCCAAAAACGACGTTTTTTTACCACTTTTGTTCATATCAATAATTCTTTTCAGTTCTTCTTTTAATAAAAGTGAAACATTCTGTTTACATTCACGCACAACTGCATTTAACGCCATTTTACATTGAAACTGAAAAGTCAGTTTATATTGAAATGTGTGAACAATTGATTCAACTTTTATTGATCAACTAAAATCGGTCAACTAAAATTGGCCGTGAGAACACGCCTTTACACAAAATTATCTTCTTCTATTATAATTTTTGTAGAATTCCGTCCAATTTATACAGAGTTGCGCGAAAATCAGGAATAAAATTATTATCTGTTCAACCAGTAACTCAAAAAAAAACGCTGAAACACGTAAATTGATTTTACATTGAACGTATTTGTTGCCAATAAAATAAAAAAAATTATTCAACTCCTTAGCTATAACCACTAATCTGTATTATTTTACTGGATAGGATATAGCCCCCTAAAAACATTCCGAAAACTTGGCCGATTTGGGCAAATAATATGGCGGACCGGATGTTATTTAACATAACCTCTATTTCCATTTGTCATCACATTTGTCATTTAATTGTGTCAACAAGTTACGACGACATGTTTTTTTTATTTATGTAGGTAGTATCGGATAGCATTACTATGATATAAACAATAAACGTCCATTCGTGAAGACATAATATGCTTCACGTTTCCATTTTTAAATTTTCTTTCATAAAAAATCAAATTATGGGTGAATTGTCCCGAAGGGTATTGCCTGCAAAAGGAATAGAAGAAGAATAAGAAGAAAAACTAATCAAACTATAGGTTATAGGTATGTCAAATTATCCCAAAATTCAGTTCTGTGATCCCACCATAATTTGCCCAAATCGGCCAGCAGTGAAGCACTTCCGGTCTCCTTGGTGGAACGGATTTTTAGTATGTTAAATATAGCCTATATCCTATCCAGTAAAATAATACAGATCAGTGGCTATAACCCTACCTAACTTTTTTTTAAATGCAAAGGTATATAGTATATATGTTATTTGATTCCACTCTAATTTTGTTTTTTAGATCTTCACTATTAGTCGGCCTATTTTGATAAACCTTGTATTTCAGATATCCCCAAAAAAGTAATCCCAGATAGCACAAATACGACTTATGGACGTTCTAAAAACGTCCTGCTTGGACATTCAGGACATCCTTAAAACGTCCATTTCACGGCCGTGGACGTCTTATGGACGTATTTGGAACGTCCATTGTTAATAATCAGGATGTCTTAAGAACGTCCATTTAAGGACATTCCATGGACATTTTCAGAAGCTCAAATGGGGAATAATAGGATGTAAGGAAATTAGTGAAAATACTGAATAATTTCAAAAAAATTTATTTGGAAGCAAATAACCTATAAATAGTGAAATTATGAAAACTTTTTCGACAAATTCATCCCGTCTCTCCTCTACTTTGCTCTGTTCAATCATGCCTGGATTGAGAGCAGTTGTTTTTTTCTTTTTGATTTGGCCATATTTGCCTTCCCAGTTGAACCTGAAAATAATTTAATCGCTTATACAAAATTCAGATCAATATGAAAATCCAATCTGTTTGTTTAAGTTTGCCTTGCTAGACATTATGAATTCACTAACCTTTTAGCTTTGTAGTATTCACTGGAAAACTCTTCTACTTTGCTCTTTTCAACCATGCCTGGATTGACAGCAGTTATTTTTTTCTTGATTTGGTCATATTTGCCTTCTCAGTTAAACCTGAAAATAATTTAATCGCTTATTCAAAATGAAAGGCAGATCAATATGAAAATCCAATCTATTGGTTGCTTTGCTAGACATTATGTATTCACTAACCTTTTAGCTATGTAGTATTCACTTAAAAACTCCTCTACTTTGCTCTTTTCAACCATGCCTGGATTGACAGCAGTCAGTTTTTATCTAGATTTGGTCATAATTGCCTTCTCAACTGAATCTGAAAATAATTTAATCGCTTATTCAAAATAAAAGGCATATCAAAATTAAAATCCAATCTGTTTGTTTCAGTTTGCCTTGCTAGACATTATAAATTCACTAACCTTTTAGCTCTGAAAAACTTCCACCTTTCTCAGATATAAAAATGGTACAAATGGCGGAATGATAGAACTTGTACTCGTATAATATGTATATACCATCGAATCATGAACATTAAACACTTTTTTTTAATAAAACCTGAGCCCTGGGAATATTTCACTTCAGTGCTTGAATCTGAATCATATCAAAAATAAATAAAAATAAAAAGTCACTTGTCAACAATGTCACTTTCTTGCAAAAGATCTTCTTCCTTTTTGTCTATTTGGCCTTAATTCAATTGGATATTGGGAAAATGCCATCTTTAATAATTATTTATATTATCTCATTATATATGTTTTTTGTATAATATAACCAAATAATAATACAATGCGAATGCGAATCCATGGAAATATAGTGAAGCACGTACAATTGACGTTTTGCGGATATCTATTTCTTGACGTCCAGAGGATTTACTAAACTGGACATATTTAAAACGTCCATAATAGGTCCCGGACGTACAGACGTTAAATGGACATGTATTGGACGTCCTTAGGACGTCCTGTGCTATCTGGGATCTAATAGCGTTAAGTCTGGGGATCTTGGAGGCCATTCAATTTTACCACGTCATCTAATCCAGCGTCCTGCAAATATTTCAACAAGATATTCTCTGACATTAATATCAAAATGTGGGGGAGCGCCATCCTGTTGAAACCATAGTGTTTTACTGGGGATTTCTGGATATACTTCGTTGGAAAACATAACAGCTGAAGCAATTACCAATTCAAAATCTTAAAAGTCAGTAGCGTTCAGAGGTGAAGTTCTCCTCAAAAAAGTATAAACTTAATATTCTGTTGTTGATGATACCTGCCCATACATTTACTTTCTGAGGACGCCGCGTATGAGCTTCACATATCCAGTGTGGATTTTCCTGTCTCCAAAAACGATAATGGTGCCTATTAACTAATCCATTTAAATAAAAAGTAGCTTCAACCGAAAAGAGTATAGTCAGTAGAAAACCGTTATTCTCGCCACATCGCCTCATTATTTTTTCACAAAATTGCATACGCCTGTCATAGTCATCTTTCAAGAGCTCTTGGACAAGATATATTTTATATGGGTGGTATTTTTCTATTTTCAAAACCTCCTAATCGTTGGTCTAGATGCAGCATGTTTTTGGGCCAATGAAACCGTTGACAAATGTGGATCTTCCTGCAGAAATAAGACAATGTCCAATTTTTTATCCTCGTCTAAAACATGTGACCGGTCACTTCTAGGCAGTCCTTTACTGAACCATGTACTTCAAATTTGTGGAAGATTTTACTAACAGTACCCTGTAAAATGTGATTTTTCGGATATTTTGCAATAAATAAAGTACACACTTCACTTTGATTTCGCATTCTATCCCCACATCCCAACAATATCAAGACTTCGATATGCTGTTTCTCTGACAATATCATTTTCGTTTAAAAAATTAAAAGATAACACTTTCAAAATACACAAATTATTAAACTAGATGTTTCAATTCAATTGTACATACAGAAATGCTAAAAACTGAGCAAAAAAATTTAATAAAGGCAAAGTTGCATTATCAGTTTAAATCATGGTAAATCAATAAAATTTGGTGTTCTGACTGCCTAGGCTCGCCTGTTTTTAATAAAAACACATTTAGAATTAAAGATAGCCTACCGATATTAGGTTTTACTGTCGCCTGGGAGCCTGACATCAACATCTGCTACATTAATTCCCTCGTCGATAGACTAAAAAGATATTTGTAACTTTAAAAAAAAAAAAAAGGGTATGGTGAGATTTCATTTTTCTTGAGCTTTTCAATGACCCTACACACGAAATACCTTTGCATTTGAAAAAAGTTAGGAAGGGGTGCAGCTAAGGAGCTGAAGAAAAAAAATTCATTTTATTGGCAACTAATACGTCCAATGTAAAATCAATTCACGGGTTTCAGCGTTTTTTTACTGGTTGAACAGATAATAATTTTATTCCGGACTTTCGCACAACTCTGTAAATATATTTTTAATCTTAATTGATATCTTCTTCCATTTTTTCTAAGTTAAATATATTTTACTAAATCGGGAAAAACTTGCTGTTGCTCGATATTAATGGAATTTTTTAGCTATATTTCAATTTCCATTTTTAATTAAAATTTTTCTTTCCTTTTTATAATTAAAAAAATAATTATACCATTTTAGATATAAATTATTAAATTTGTTCTTTCTTGATTCTTTATTGTTTCAGGGCAATGAAATAGTGAATATAATACATCGAATGCCAACGAAAAATATATCGGAACAATGTTTAAAAGAAGTAAGTAAATATTTTAAAATTATTACATTTATTTATTTTGTCTTTGTCTTCCATTATGTGCTATATATCTTTCTTAAATAGAGTGTGATTCAAAGTTCACTGAAGAAAATTCACCTTTCTCTTCACATTTTCTACATGGGATATCGTCAGATATCCCTAAAATATTTAAATGACTTCTAAGCTCGCAGTATACCGTAAACAATCCTATTACGGTCTTTAGTCTTTTCTTGTGGATTTTGTCTGCTCTTATATGGGGCTTCATTGAATATTATGTACTGCTTAAGTCCAGGAAGTCCCTACCATACAGATGAAGGCTCATTTTCCCATATGGCTGCAGAAGCTAAGCTAACAAAGGGTAATTCCAAGATAATTAACTCCCTTTGCAATTTTTAGATGTTGATTTGATGGTAAATGTAACAATCAACGACAAAGAACTACTAAACTAAGTTGTTTACAAAAATCAATTTGCAAGCATTTACGGTGTTATCCACATAATTGTCAAATTATTATGAGAGAGTATGGGAGAGTCTTGTTACAAGGAATTGACTTAACATATAAGGCTCTGAAACACAGGAAATACTTTTAAAATTACTTTAGGGAAGTGTTTTTGCATTCTTAATCACTATAATGCATTTTTCTCGTTGCAACTATCATAGTTGAAGGTTATTTCCAGGAAAGTACGCAATTTACTTTTAAGTATAGTAGCAGTGTAAGCGTCGTAGTCACAAATAGCGTACTCGCACCTCAGATAAACAAGTTCGCATAAACCATCCCCTCTTAAATTAGCAGCTGAGCGTTCATCCTAATATGGCAACCAATACGACAGCTTTGTCTGCATGCTTAATTATGAATGAATGGATTAGTCTAGTTTTTCGTCGTTGACAACGACAGAGATTTTCGTCGAGTTTGTGGACATCGATAATTAGTGCCTGTCACATCCTTTAGAAACAACTGCCCCAAATGTACCTTTTACTATGATACGCCGTGAATGTTAATACTAAATATTTAAATTCAAAGACATTTGACTATAAATTACAATAAACCTTAAAAATATATTTTTTTAACTAAATAAAATATACCTTCTTATATTTACAATTTTCTTAACAGCTAAAAATCTTCATGGTCCAGATGTATGTCAGGCCCATAGAAATTTCGGCTTCGGGTTACTTTACACTTGACAAAAGGCAGATATTAAACGTAAGTTTTTTAATATAATAAAATGCATTTTTCCAACACTATTTTTCGATTCTGCAATTTCCCGTAGTATATTTGATAATCACTACTTTAACTGCACTAGAATTCTTTAATTTGTTTGGTTTCACATTTTTATAAGTATTTTTTCTACACTATTTTTTAAAATTATTTGTTTTTATATTTGACAAAATAGTTTTTCATAAAATGTTCATATTCTGTTTTACTAAATTTCGTCTATTACGAGGATGAGGTAAATAATTTCCAGCAAAACACGAAGTCAACAATCTTTTTATTTTTTACTTAATACAATTCGCCCAAGGAAATTATACGCTCTGCTTGTAGCTTATATACACAGATTCGTCCTGCTCTTTAAAATAGGCGTTTGTGACAATAACTTCCAAATGGGGCGCATAATTCTTGCCAGCTCGAAAGTACGATGAGGGCAAGACTGGCGAGTAGGATGTATGGAGCAATAATTCCAAGCCCAGTATATATATATATATTTTTTTCGATAATCCAGGGCTTTTTTCCAGAATTTTATGTTGTAGCTGATCAAGAAAACATATTATTTTCCATGTATTGTTTTAAACCTTTTAAAGTAATCAATTAAAATAGTGCCTTTGCATCCAAAAAAAACCGACGCCATAACCTTTCCGGTTGATGGAACCATTTTCACCTTCTTTGGGACTGGTTGGCCTTTCGCTGCCCATTGTCTTAACTATTGTTTAATCTCCGATATGTAATAGCGAACCTAAGTCTCGTCCATAGTTATAAATTTGTACAGAAAATCTTTTGGGTTGCGCTAAAATATCGACACTAGATACTTTTCTGAAACGTTCATAAATGGTTGCTTTCACGTCAACAATCGCTTAGTCCGTTTTGTGGAGACCTTTCTCAGGTCCAACATTTTTCATAATATGTGATTCGCCTCAGTTATCTCCGCCAATTTCAATCGGCGCTCAGTCAAATAATTTTATAGACCTTCAGGACCATATCTTCCGTCATAGTAAATTTTGACCTACCTGGGCACTGTACACTACATCCTTTGAGCGCTTGTACGCTCACGTTTAAAATCTGCAACCTATGTTTTGACCGTTGAAAATGATGGAGCATACTCACCTAAAGTAGAATCCACCTCAGCACTAATTTGGTACTTAAGGACAGCTCATACTTCTAATTTCTCCATTATTAAAAAAACTTATAACTTGATTAGTGTATGGCATGCTGTCAAATACAAAAACTACTAGAGTCTAAGACTAGAGACTTAGAGCATATTGCTCTAAGACTAGAGACACAATATTTTCCATAAAAATGAATGACAATTTTATAACATTAAACAATAAACAACAAATTATTAAAATCATACTATATGTATTCTGGCTTTTGTAAACGTTTTGCATTTTTTCTGTGCCTAAATTACTTTTCCATAATTATTCATGTTCTAGGTATATTTTCATTGTGAACTTTCATGACTCGTAATTTTCACGTCCTTTTAATTTTTCAATCTGGGGAAGTGCATAATTAGACGCCGTCGCGAAGTTTGAATAATGCAAACAGAAATTAAATTTATTTTTGGAATTCCGACATTATCTGAATATTTAAATGAACTCTAGGCTCATAACTTATTAGGAAATAACGGCAGTTATAAGGTTTTAGACTATCAATTAAAGCAAACATGACATTACACAATTATTTTATGAGATAGAAACGTCAAGATACTTATTCGCTCCGTGCGAAGTCATGGAAAGGGAAGCAAAAGCGATACTAGCGCTAGCTGCGGATAATTCGTGCATTTTAGGGGGATATTTTGTAATTTTGGCATATCAAATACACGTATACATTTTACTTTTTTTCAAAAAAGTAGGTAAAAACAACACAATAAGCAACCGGAGTTGCTGTGTTGAAAATTGTACAAATACTAGCAAAAAAAAACAGTGAAACTTATATAAAAAATTTCACTAACAAAGTGGAAATTAAATCAAAGAAATAAATGGATAGGTGTACAATAAGAAAAAAAATTACCTTTATTTTTGTGATAATAACAGTAATGCTGGAAATAGTAGACATCAGAAACTAGAAAGTTTTTAAATAAACAATAAATTATGATTTTACGATGTTCTTTAATATCCCTTTATTCTTAAATGTTCATTCAGCAAGGACTAGATTTCAAGATTTCTGCCGTTGATTATAATATTTGGCTGGTATGCAATTTTGTGACTTACTGATCGGAAACCAGTTTTAATCATTCATTCTATGTTTTCTTTAGAACAAAAATGAAAATATAAGTAGCGATTCTTTTTATACATTTTAACTTCACGCTATTATAAATGGTTTCTTCAATGACAACTTATTAGACTTAGGCAACTCCTCATACATTTTCCAGTAAATACTGTTGCCTGCCTATATTTTATTATTGATTTTTAATGATTATACATAATTTTCTTTAATTTAAGCGTGAAAAATATATAATAATAATAAATTAATGTTTTAATTGTTTTATAAATCCATATACTTTTATTAAAACTAACATATATACTTTTTATTTACGAATTCTATTAAAAATTGTATTTGTCAGTATAGGCAGAAATACTCCTTTAATACCAAAACAAATTGGCGCTGCTGTCGCGCACGGAGCGAATAATAATAATAATAATAAAACGTCTTTATTTGTACTATAATAAATAAATACATGAGTACATTGCGGGGCGAGATTTAGCCTGAGGCTATTCTTCCACCTAACCCCTTCATTAAATATATGATAAAGAGTTTTTATAAAATACATTAAAGAGATAAAATAGTTACTTAAATTACATAAAGATATATGAAATACAATAAAATTCAATAAAATACAATAAAATACAATAAAATACAATAAAATACAATAAAATACAATAAAATACAATAAAATACAATAAAATACAATAAAATACAATAAAATACAATAAAATACAATAAAATACAATAAAATACAATAAAATACAATAAAATACAATAAAATACAATAAAATACAATAAAATACAATAAAATACAATAAAATACAATAAAATACAATAAAATACAATAAAATACAATAAAATACAATAAAATACAATAAAATACAATAAAATACAATAAAATACAATAAAATACAATAAAATACAATAAAATACAATAAAATACAATAAAATACAATAAAATACAATAAAATACAATAAAATACAATAAAATACAATAAAATACAATAAAATACAATAAAATACAATAAAATACAATAAAATACAATAAAATACAATAAAATACAATAAAATACAATAAAATACAATAAAATACAATAAAATACAATAAAATACAATAAAATACAATAAAATACAATAAAATACAATAAAATACAATAAAATACAATAAAATACAATAAAATACAATAAAATACAATAAAATACAATAAAATACAATAAAATACAATAAAATACAATAAAATACAATAAAATACAATAAAATACAATAAAATACAATAAAATACAATAAAATACAATAAAATACAATAAAATACAATAAAATACAATAAAATACAATAAAATACAATAAAATACAATAAAATACAATAAAATACAATAAAATACAATAAAATACAATAAAATACAATAAAATACAATAAAATACAATAAAATACAATAAAATACAATAAAATACAATAAAATACAATAAAATATAATAAAATACAATAAAATACAATAAAATACAATAAAATACAATAAAATACAATAAAATACAATAAAATACAATAAAATACAATAAAATACAATAAAATACAATAAAATACAATAAAATACAATAAAATACAATAAAATACAATAAAAACAATAAAATACAATAAAATAAATCAAACTTCTCTTATTACTTCTCTACTATTACTTCTCTTATATCAGCCGGTGTTAGCCAAAACTAGCAAAAGTAGATATGCTCTATGGTCTTATCTTCTTGTTCACACCACCTGCAGAGTAAGAATTTTGATAGCTCCATGATATGGAGTTGCTTCCGCACTTGGCAATAAACAATCAGAATGCCTGTGATCAGTCGCAGATTATGTCTAGTCATGTAGTGTTTTCAGGATATCTTAAAAGCTGCCTCACAACTCTGCAGTTTCTTTTTTCCTCCCATCTTTCACCTCTGTTGCAAAGTTTAGTTTTGTGGTTAGGAGATCTGAAGCTTTAATTCCATTTTTATCCTTTTCCTAGTGAAAAAGACCATTTCTGTCTTCTTGGGATTGATAGACAGTGAATGATCCTTGCACTACTGTTCTATAATTCTGAGAGCTACTTGCATTCTTTCGCAGAGTATGTTCTCAAAATTCCCTATTTGCAGAATCTGCATACGCTATTGTGTAGTGGCAGTCATTATTGAGGCGGAGAATGAGGTTGTCGAGGACCATGTTCCACAGTAGTCCTCTCTGTAGTCCTGTGGATATCTCCTCGCAACCAAGCCTCTTATATTCACATCTTCTACACTTATGTTTACTACTTACTTTGAGAGCATGTTTTGTATCCACTAACCATCTATAAAACATTCCTGTTGTTTAGTGAGTGTATCATCTTTGGGAAGGTGGTTTTGTCAAAAGCACTCTTTATGTCTATGGAAACACCCAAAGCGGACTCCTTATTGTCAAGGTATCTTTCTATCCGTCCAGCAACTAGGCGAAAGGGTGAATCAGTAGATCTGTCCGAGGTGTATGCAAGTTGATTTGGGTGTAGTGGTGTTGTTATCACCACATCCATTATATGCCTTTCGCAAAGCCTTTCCAATGTCTTCATGTAAAACGATGTCAGACTAATTGATTGATGTGTTTTTGGGATAGTGTAATCTATTGGATATGAACACCACTTTTACCTCTCTCCATATCTACCAGGTGCGGTGTGAGTTCTTCCAGACCCCATTGAAGTAGGGGTGGATGCAATCAGGTCCTGGTGATTTAAATGGAGAGAAGATAGATATTGCCCATCTAATTTTGTCATCGTTTACAATGTGT